TTGGCATAGAATTTGATTCAGACAAATATTTCGTACCTGCTTATATAAACTAATTTGGAGCAAATGTTTTATAAAAACCAATTTCTCCATGGCACCACCTTCCCCTTCAGTGTTACAATTGATGTGACTCAATATATAGGCAAATATTTAACGATCATTAGATAACTGTATAACATATACATTATATTATGTGAATAAATAGTAGAAGCGGTTGGCGCATCGGTTGTGGCTTGGACTCCCAACCTCGAGGTCTCGTTGTGCAAACCGCCTGTGTCCTTGGGCAAGGCACTTTATCTACGGTTGCCTCTCTCCACCCAGGAGTACAAGTGGGTACTGTATTTACCTTCTTTGATGATTTATATTATACATACGATGAATAATTTTACTTTGGTATACAAAATTATATTATGTATATAAAATTATATACATTCAGAAAGACGTAAATCTAGTGTTGTTGTATCTTCTTTGACTATATGTGTAAAACAAATCATGTGTAAAACAAATCATATGTTAACAGATTTAATGACTTCCAATTCATACATACATGATAGACCTTCTTTCGTTTCGGAGTAAACTTTATTGTTGAAGGCTACTTCTCCATTGGATTTATTCGGTGTAAACACCAAGGATAGCCCACGAAAGTCTAGAAGACTTACTTCCAGCGGGGTTCTTCTGGTGGTGATTGGGCATTACACCGGGAGACAATCCCCTACTCTTTCCCGAATAGTGTACTATTCTGCGTTCTGCGTGCACTTGGGCCATAAATGCACACGGGACCAACTGCTTAACGTCTCATCATCCGAAATACGGTGTGCTACTGTAATATTTCTGCCCCATAGCTGAAACACAAGGAGAGGCACTGGTGCGAATTGAGCCAGGGACCTAGAGTCTCCACGGTTCAGCGCATACACAGTGGCTACCACCAAAGCCGACTGGGCTAAGCTGCTCTGGCTTTGCGATTTTTATGCATAAACATAGATAATTTTACACAAATAAATAATCTTATTTTATTAAATTAATAATCTTATTTTATTAATACACTTTAAACTGACACTAATATTAATAATAGTAATAATAATACTAATAATAATGATAACAATATATAATAATAATAATGTTAATATTATTTATAGAAATGTTATGTTATAGCAGGATACACTACCCCTTAGTTCACTTAACACACTTCCTAGAAAATGATAACCCACCAAACGAAAATATTAAGGAATGAAATCGAAGTTTTTGCCGAAGGCCTTCCTGCCCAATCCAAGGGTAAATGGAATTTTTGAAATGTATTGACGATTATTAATCGATATTTCACTTAACATGTATACTTAACGCGCATGGTAGCAGGAACATAAAGGGTGCATCGAGAATATAATCAATCATTGGAATTGAAACTATATAAATAGTTAACGAAAGTCACAACAGCAGTGTGGTGTTTTCCGGCTCTGTAGAAGAAGCATCTACTGTCGAATCTAGGAAATTTTGGGTATAAGGAAACCGTTATCGCTCAAAACTGACGTACTCTCAAGTTGGTGTTGGTCGTTATTCCACAAAAATACAATGTATATCCGGTCCGTGTAATGTATCTATTTTGATCTTCATTTTGTCCAGAATTTTTGAGAGTGAATTGAATAATATGAATGGGAATTGCGGTAAACGATCTCCCACTGTCCAGCCGATAATGGAAGACATAGACGTACGTGAATTCGACGAAATAGACGAATCTATCAAGTACAACGAAGCGGTAGTACATGCATATGCCGTATGGCGCAAAAAGACTATAGAACATAAGAAGCTTAGACAAAAAAAATGTTTTTGTTTAGGTTTTAGCCTTTTCAAGAAGAGAGACATTGAAGAAGAAAAAGAGAGGCAGTTACTGATGAAGGATATGGAACTAAACGTTATATATGCATCGTGCTGGGATAGCAACTCATTGCTTTCCACCATACCCTACATGCCAATCAAACTAGCCTGCCTCTGTGCTTTTTTAAACATATTTCTTCCAGGCTGGGGTAAGTTAGTCTAGCTTTGCTAATCATCTCCAGCACTGAATTTGTCGTTCGTGTTGTGATTAAAAATTACAATATAGTCCCAAGGAGATGCCGTAATACTAAGCTTGTATCCCTGAGAATGTGCCAACGGGTGAACGAATACTTAGAATGAGGTGAGAGATTATGCTGCAAGAAAGTGCCAATAAGACAGTGTCGAAAGAGTGCCAATAAATTGTTGAGAGTTGCTGGGAGAGAAGAAAGAAAGTACCGAGCGAGTACAGAGAATGCTAAGATCGTACGGACAGATGACAGTTGCAGGTTCAAAAAAATCGTCCAATTAGCTGGGAGGGAAGAAAGAAAGTACCAAGAGAGTACAGAGAATGTTGAGATCGTACGGACAGATGACAGATGCAGGTTTAAAAAAATCGTCCAATTATGTAAAAAATCATGAGTTATACTCGTTGCATGTTTCTGCATAAAATGGCCAAGTTTGCACCTAGTCGTTTTCCTGCTGATTCCTATGGTACCAGGGATCATTAAAATTCCGATTGTGTTTGATTTAACCTTGTTCAATATCATTTTTTTATCGTTTAAAAGTTTTAATTATCCTAATTCGGGCACACGGGCTTAATTGAGTATCATCCAATTTAACATTATGTAAGTGGCATTTGTCAACATGCCAACAGGACACAAAACAACCGGAAAATGCCGGGGTCAAAAAATCGTTCTAAAACATCATTTTCATAACATTAAATGTTGTGAATTATGTCTATATGCTTATAATAAATAAATTAGATATTATTTAAGCTTAAATATAGATTTTAAATGGGATTTGTAGCATGGATAATATTTTTGTAATCCGTAGGTGCCACAAAAGACAAAACAACGGAAAAATTGTTAGGTCAAAAAATCGTCCAATTTCGACGAAACAATAAGCCAAATTTTCCAAAATTGGGCTATATTCACCTAGTCGTTTTCGCCTGATTTTTCTTTATGGTACTTAATGATTATAAAAATGTCGATTATTTTTTAATTAAGCATCATTTTCAAAGTATTAAAAATGCTGTGAAATATGCCAGAATTAAAGCCCATATGCTGAAGAAAATAATAAAGTTATGTTTAGAGTGACCGAAATAGCCGAGTTGTAAGTTGTAAGCATACTGTTCTCCTTTCTCTGAAAGTTAATAGAAAATATTGTTTGATTGCATTTCTACTTAATTACTTGACCAGTTAAATAAATGGAAATGAATGTTCCTTTCTTGCTTCGTTTTAAGGAACCTTGGTCGGTGCCATAAGTATCTTCATATGCAGCAATCCACAAGGCTTAACCAAACGCGAGTCAGAGGATCTAGTAGATCCATTCATAAGCAACCTCTGCGTGGGGATCTCACAAATGTTTACCGTTACGTTTCTACTCGTCGGCTGGATATGGAGTGTCGTGTGGGGTATAAATATGGTATTACTGTCTAGTAAGTGACTGTTCCGGTGTTACAGGGGTTATGCCACACTAAATTTCCCCCGTGCCTAAATTCATATTTAATTCATCCTCCTGGACAGGGGCGCAGCCAGGGTACAATTTGAGGGTGGGGGTCAAGATTTGCGAGTGTAATTAGCAACTAACCTGAGACCATGGGGCAGAGAAGGGCCCCAATCATGGTCCAGGGGCCGAAGGTCAGGATAATTTGCATTATTTCATGTGATAAATGAGAGAATTCTAAAAAATAATAAATATATATAAAAAAAATAAGCACTGTTGAAAGCAATGTGTGAACAAGAAAATAAATTTAGTGTGAGATTTCACTCTTTCCTGGCCCCACCAACAAATGGTAATGATTTTATAATCATGAACATCCGATGAAGGCCTATTTTTTAATAATATGATCTTAAAAGCAGGCATGTTGTATCAAATGCACTAATTAGATTAGGAGAACAAACGTGACCATTATGAGAGTTGACGTTAAGGGACGTTAATTCCCTGCCCCAGCAGCAATTATTTATATTATTATTATTATTATTATTATTATTATTATTATTATTATTATTATTATTATTATTATTATTATTATTATTATTATTATTATTATTATTATTATTATTAATATTATTATTATTATTATCATTATTATTATTATTATTATTATCGTTATTAATATTTATTAAGTCACTAATTTATTCATTCATTAATTTTTCCATCCATCCATCCCACCATCCACCCACCTACCCATCCACACCCATATTATTTAATTTTATATCATACATATCTAGTTATATAATGTATAACATTTAAAATGTTATATTATTTATTTAATTTGCATCCAATTACAAGTATTATTATTATTTTATTTATTCATTCATTCATTTTCCAGCCATCCATCCCACCATCTACCCAACTACCCATCCACACCCATATTATTTAATTGTCATACATATCTAGTTTATATATATTGTATAACATTTAAAATGTGATTATATTATTTATTTAATTCACATCCAATTACAAGATGAAACGATACTCAGTAATCAATAGGCTTAGGTTTTTTAAGCTGAAAACGTAGAGCTGAGATAAGATAAAAAAACTGTTGAGCCATTATTATTATTATTATTATTATTATTATTATTATTATTATTATTATTATTATTATTATTATTATTATTATTATTATTATTATTATTATTAAAAATATAAATTATCAGTAGTATTTGTATATTTGTAAATGTGTGTGTTTCTGTTGCCGTACATATATTATATCATTTCAAAAAGATCGACATGAACATTACATCTAATTTTAAAAAATGCTTGTACTTTTTTAAATTTCAGAGCATCACAACTACCTTGTGGACAGTGAGATTAAACGGGTCAAAACGTTGGGGATTGCGAATAAGCTCTTTAAATAAGTCATATAACCACGTCAAGTTATTTGTCATTTTATTTTTGGATGGAAACATTGCTATTATCTCCAAGGAGTATTGGTCAATGACTGTTTGACAATTTTTTTGCTTATGAATATTCATGATATTAGCTACCGGGTACAACATGTAAATATGTATAATTAAAGAAAAGACAGGTATACATTTGTTTAAAATGAGATTATTTCAATAAAGTATCATGGAAATATGTATTTGAGGCATGCATACATTTCTAGTTCGATATTAGGGAGACTATGCAACCTTACGAAAACGATAACGACTACGATTATTAATATCGTTATTCGTGGCTAAAACATTCTTGAAAGTATGCTGTTCAAAGCTGAATATGATTCCTCATTCATGTAAAAGACATATATGCTACTGTAGGGGAAGGGTTGTCTAAACATTTGATGTCGTTTTTGTAAGCTTACAAAAACTCCCTATTGTATTTTGCCACAGACCAGAAGAGACTATAAATCGCAATTACGCGTAAAGAGTATCATCAATCGATGCCATCTCCTTCTCCTGATCGATCCTGTATTTGACTAATATTAATCGCTCTCCTTGGTTACGCATTGACATTGTTGTAAACGACTTCGTTTGTTACTATATTAAGATATTTATTTTGGTACATCAACCTACAGGGGCTCGAATGGGCCACAGCATCATAAGATATTAATTACATAGGCCTACAATCATAAACGCATCATCAAAACATGGGTCAATTGAAGCTTCGATAATTGCTACGATGCGTTTGACATCAAGTAAATAAATTATGCCTGAACATATAGAGTATAGAGTATACTAGTGGTATTGAAACTAGTCATTTCTATTTTAAGTGACTGTTAAAAGAGACGAGAACGAGCAGAAGAAAGGAAAATATTGAGTGTGTGATCGGTGTTTGAATAATGAAATAGGAGACTCCCTCCCCCTCCCTTGTTTTGTTCCTTCCACACACACATACATCTGGTATACGCATATTGAGGTAATATAGCTTAATTTGTCGCAATGGTTTTAAAATGATTGTTATTTTTTAAATCCAGTGTAAGCCATGTCAAAGTTCAACTCAATATTTGCAAAGACTATTCAAATAATTGAATAAGGCTTCGAATTATTATTAGTGAATAGAATAAGGAGAAACTGCTGTCGCTGTCTTTATATTGTCTGCTTGTAGGGTTCAATTACATTAGATGCATGCCCTGTAGAAGTGGGTTTTATAATAATAAATATTATTATTAATATTATTATTATTATTATTATTATTACTATTGTTATCATTACTACTCTTACGATTATTATTATTACTATTATTATTACTATTCATATATTATTATTATTATTATTATTATTACTATTATCATTATTACTATTATTATTATTACTATTATTATTATTATTATTACTATTATTATTATTATTACCACTATTATTATTATTGTATTATTATTATTATATCATAATCAATATCATAATCATTATTATATATTATATATATATTATACTATTATTATCATCATTATTATTATATTATATATATTGTACTATTATTAATATTATTATTATTATATTATTATTATATTATTATTATCATTATTGTTATTAATATAGCATCATCTTTATCATTATAATATCATAATCATTTTTAAATTATTATGGTTATTATTATAATTATACTTACCATTATAATTATACATATATGTCCTTTAGAAGTGGGTTTTACAATTAAGATATTATTAACATTGTTATTATTATTATTATTACTATTATTATATCATTATTATATTATTATTATTATTATATCATCATCATCATTATAGCATCATCTTTGTCATTATAATATCATAATCATTATTAAATTATTATGGTTATTATTATAATTATACTTACCATTATAATTATACATATATGTCCTTTAGAAGTGGGTTTTACAATTAAGATATTATTAACATT